TTAAATAGAAAAGTTAAGTTTTTCCATCGTAAGACCTTCTGAAAACTTCTGCAATGCTGTTTTTACAACTGCAGTTTCAAACTAGAGTAGTGAGACTCTTAGAATTTACTTCATGTATGTTTGTCTCCTGCCTAGAGATGTATAATCCTTATTTATGGCAATGCTGCGTGGCACAGGCAACTCTTGACAATTTTAAATAATGCAACAATAAACACATTACAGAGCCTTCTTTGGATTACACCACTGCTGGATGGTTGCATCCAGCACCCATTTAAGAGGGCTTTGCATATTTGACTTTCAGAAGCAGCTGTCCTGAAACCATAACCTCTGAACAAGGAGGAAAAACTTGGTGTTGCTTTTCTGAAGTCAATCCAGGTGCAGGAAGCAAAGACATTAATGCAAACCTTCAGTCTCAGCCTTTGAAAACCTTGTAAAAGGAGATGTAGTATGTTAGAGATTCTAGTTCTTTATTTTTCTTGCATTTTTTGTCTCTCTTGAAAAATCAAGTTGTCAATCCTTTACTAAGCAGTTGCTTGTAAAGTACCCCCTTTACTTAAGCTAGAATGTCAATGCAAAAAGAATGTTTAACAAATTCAAAGCTCAAGCAGTGTTTCTTGATTATTTTCAACAGTGTAGTGTAATCTCAGTCATGACCCCACGGTTGTGTAGTTGAGGCTGTTACACTGTTTGAATTGCTGGAAGATACTGCTCCTTTGTCATTATCTGAGCAAATTTCAAGTTTAAAATTTAAAAAAGAGTATTTCAGGTGAAAAAGGCCCAGGCTACCTATTGTCATGGAGGGCAGTTGTCTACAGCAGCTGACAGCAGACAGATCACAAATGGAGGGAAAAAGGGCTTTAGAGAGGTCAAGATTTTTCCTGATTTTAAAATTAGTAAATTCTAAAGAATCAAAATGACTAAACTTGAGGGGATCTCAAGAGTGACACATGGCACAATATTTTTTATATTAGAATTGTACTTTCTTGTTAATAACAGTCCTGATTGACCCTCTGCCCCAGGATGGTGCCTGCCTCTAGAAGGAGCCAGATGAGGAATGTCTCCTCCAAAAACACCATCTCATCTTGCAGTACTCTTATGTCACCCTTAATACGAATCACATTTGAGTTCCAAAATCTGATTTGTGCCTAAAACCCACTTTCCAGCTCAGTTTGTCCTTCTTTGAATTTTACTTGGCCCCGGTTCATCAGCTCAGTTAGTGGGAATGGCCATGTCTATGGGTGTCCTGCAAATGCTCCCTGCGTTTATCTCTGGGAGTAAATTTAAGCTCATTCGTGTACACATGGACCTTTGGGTCCATTGTGACCTTTGGGACACTTGAAGATGTCTATGGAACATGGTCTTACACAAGATAAACTAAGAGAGTCTTGATATTGCAGGGAAATATGTTTTTAAATTGGTCTGTCAGTGCTGCCACACTATCTCTGCACCACATCAGTCTGGTTGCTTTGCTCTGTCTTCATTCCCTATGTATTTTTAACTTTTTTCAATAGATTGCTCGTTATGGCTGATTACATTATTCGTGGGTTTTTGTCTCCTTTGATGCCTGTCCCAGTAGTGCTTATGTAAAAGGGCTTGATGATATTGAATGGTAAGAACGAACAAATGCAGTGAGAATTCAATTGCTATTTTGCTCTCAAGCACAAGTATTCTTTCTAAATCAAGTCTGACCACTTACTGTGTCAGTCAGCTACGGTGTTGGAGACACAGAGAAAGTATTTAATTTACATTTGATTTAAAGAGAATTTCTGTTTGCTTGAGGTGCTCTATTTTATTTGAAAGTTTTAAAAATGCATGATTTTCAAGTGCTCTGCAGTTTTTAAAACAAATTTGGACATAGCTGATCTTCATCTTGGCTGCAAAATCCTATGTAATATGTATGCTTGTCACACTGGTACTCTAGCCTCTCTGCACACTGGGAGTGTCAAGTCATTTATCAAACATCACGCAGGAGTTATTGATGGTTTCTTTCACAAACCTTATGCATTTTACTTCTTAGTCATACAACCATCCATGTCAGCTGGTATATGCAGCTTTAGAATTCATGCTATAGAGCACCTGATAATTAATGACAATTTAAAATACCTCATTGTAGTATCATTTACAACTTGAATAATTCATTCCCATAGCTCTTCTCAAATTTCAAATTATGAGAGGCCTGTTAATGTTTTCCAATAGTTTGACAATGTCTTCCCACGAGTGCAGTAAATGCTGGATTGCTGTGAATTTAGGGTCATGTCCTACAGTGCTCTAAAGTTATCTCTGCTGCCACATCCCTGCTTTGCTCTGTTGTTCAGCAAATAGTTTACTGGGAAGCTGGTGTGCTAATCTGGCAGAGAAACTAATCCACCAAAGCCAATAGCTTTTTTTTTTTTTTTGTGGATCAGCATGCTGATACGAAGTGTTGAGATTTGGAGATGCAGTAGTAGGATGGGATGTGGCAGCCAACAGTTGGCTTGTCTTGAACTGCCAAAGACCCTCAGTCAGGGAAGCACACACATGTCTTTCATAAAGGTTGGCAGTCCCAGTCGGGCAGTCTCTAAAGAGTTGCCATCAGTGAGGTATTCAGAAGAAAAATGACTGTTCAAAAATGACGGTGCAAAAAAGCAAAATTTCATCATACCATGGCAGGGACACTCAATTATAAACTTCTTTGCCTCTCTGTATTCAGACGGAGCAGGGTTTTTCTGTGTGCTTGATTCATCACACTTGGCTTGAGAGAGAGCACAACATCTCCAGATATCAGAGAGGCTGATTTTCTAGTGCTTCAATGTCGCTTTTATTCAGCCCCTACTCAATAGAGCTTTGTGTTCTTCTCGCTCCTAGAGATTGTAACTGCTGCCGTGGAGGCAGAAATGGCCTAAAAATATGGGCCATAAAAGATACTGGCAAACTGGTGTTTCTCAAAAATATGACCTGTGCTTAAAACAACAGCAAAATCTTTATTTGACTGGTAAATCATGGCATCTTGCTGTCTTTTGATTTTTGAGCCTCTAAACAAAAACATAATATACTACAGCGTGCTGTGAACTAGGGGTTTAAGACGTTGCAAATCTACAGGGGAAAAAAAAAAAACCTGTGTTCAAAATAAAATCCCTTTCTGATAAGGCATTGTCAGGAGTCCAGCTGCTTTGTGGTGGTATTATGTGGGGAGGAACTAAGCTGGAGGCTGTTGTAAGAGAGGAAGGGAGGCTTTGCCACGCTGGGTGCAAGCTGCCCAACCTTGCAATGAACTGAGGACTTGCTGAACTTGTAGGTCTTCTCTATGAAGGCTGGTGGAAAAGAAAGCTGAGAAGTTGAGCACTAATAGTTGTGAAAGCTGGCAGAGTTTTCTGCCTTAATGATGCTGTGTGGTCTTTCTCTCAGTTTGGTCTTGTCCAAATATATGCAGTTGCATCTGTTTGCTTGGTTTTAAGGTGTTGGAAACACACCTGTCTTCTTGACAGCACAGAAGTTTCAGAACTTTGTAACTAGACTTGGAACTGGAGGAGGAAGAGGCTGTGCATTTTCCAATGGGAACTTGCTTTTTGGTCCCCAAATGAATGTATTGATGAAAAACACTCTTCAAGTGTGTTGACATGTGGTTGAGGGTTTATGGGACAGTGATGTATTCTGTGTGGAACATCTTTCCTAAGGAAATGGCCTGCGGAGGGGGAAGAGCACACGATATAACTGCGGATACCACTTCAAATTACTTGTGTAGGAATGCACAGGATAGTTTAATTAAAGGGAGAATGGAATTTCCCCAGATTATAGAGAAATGTATATGGAGAAATCTGATTCACTGGTGTTACTGAGCATCTACTGGCTTGCAATGATGCATTTACAGGACATTTACTGAGGGTTTTGCAGGTTGCTCTGTCTCTGAAAGGACAGTACTTGGTGTTCATCTAGGTTCACTTTGTGCTATTTTTACAACTTTCTGTGTTCAAATGGCTCAGAATAACATGCTTGTCATTCACCTGTCAACCAAGAAATGTAACGTACTTCAGACTTCCTTCCCCTGAGAATAACTGATGAGAGGAGTATCTTCAATTACCAAAAAATTCCGTGCTGTCCCATTCCTGTGTGCTTTTAAAAGGCAGATAAACCAAAAGGGCCTCTGTTTCAAGATGACCTTGTTAAGGATGTTGTTTTGCAGCAGATCAAAGTTTCAGAGGAAAGTTTTTAGCATCACAAGCTGCTATTCAAATTTCAGAGAATTGTGGATGGATCTTCAAGATCACCTGTAGCAGCAGATATTTTTATTGGATGAATTGTGGCACAAGTGGAGGGCTGAAGGAACACCTCCCTGATACTGCAATCTCTGACTAGATAGGAAGTGTATTGAGTAGTTTAAGGCAATGCATTCCTGGCACCAGCAGCTCTGTGCAACACCAGCAAAACACCTTGAGCTTTGCAACACTGCTGCATCACTTGCCTAGCTGAGTTGCTTGATGAACCTCCAAGTTCTTCTGTGCTGACACACAGTAGAATGTAGAAATGTTTCAAGAGAAAGGGAGCATCCCTCTGCTTACAGACCTGGGAATGCTTGATCCCTGAGATGCGTGGGAGCTGCATGGGTTTCTTTTAATTGTGTGGTTGCTGCTGTCTTACTTGAGTGGGAATGGAATTTTTAACTGTAACTTCAAGTGCTGCCAGTGATGCTCTTGTACTTTTTACTGGAGAGGAGTTAACCCAAGCAGTGGTAACAATGATTTGTCTGTCATGTTTAAATGACCATGGTTTTAAGATCTAATGTGTTATGGCTACAGAAGAAATAGATGTCATTAGTGGTTTCAAAATTGTTTAGTTGTGAATGAACGCGGACACTTTGGATTTCAGGATGGGTTACTGTTGCGAGCAGGTAAAAAATTTCCCT